TGACGGCACCGCGAGAAGGCAGCGACCAGAGTATGCCCAGACCGGGCAGCGTGTAAAACGCCATTGGCCGGACCCCCCCCTCCGACGGCGCCTTTTTTTGGCGACGTGAGTCCCTGGGGATCTCTCGGCCCCTTCCCGCGGATCGTCTTTTCATCCCGAGTCGTTTTTGACGGTCTGGGGGCCAGGGAACGGCCTCCAGAGGCCGAGCATTTGGAAACGCAGACCGCCGCGATTCTTTGCGGCGCCGGTATCTGAGACGTGTTAGCTCCGTGGCCGTTTCAGCTCGAGCCCATGTTGTTTCGGACCAACTTGCGAAGGAGAGAAGATACATAACACTTCAGTGTTGGTCACACGTGCAGATCTATGTTCGGTGGGCGTTGGCTCGGACTGTTTAGCGCATGTCTGGCATTACTTTCCACAGAGGCAAAGCCACCCCAATCATGCGACGATTTTTGCACTCGGGTGGTCAAGCGTTGCAAGGGAGCTGATTCGGCTTATACGACAGTCAAAGAATGCCAACGCAGATGCGCAACGTGGAAACTTGGTGTGCCTGGCGCCATCGCTGGCAACAACACGTTCCATTGTCGCGCCTTTTGGCTGGACTATGCTGAGAGCCCTGCGGGCAAGAAACAGCCAGGAGTGTGCGATTACGCTGCAGAAGGGGGTGGTCTTTGTGATGCCTCTGTGGAACATACGTGTGGAGCATATTGCGATGCTATTAGCAGAAAGGGGGATTGCGGTAAAGGCCCATGGAACCCAACAAACCGAGAGTCTTGTATTTCTGTCTGTGGGACGTGGCCAGCTGGAACCATTGACGATCTGGTCGGGAATACATTAGCGTGTCGCCTACATTATGTCAATGCTGCCGAACAGTCGTTGGTTAGAAACTCCAGGAACTTGTTTTGCCCAAACGCTGCGCTAGATGGTGGTGGAGCATGTACGCCAGCAGCGAACACGCCAGGGTGCAAAGACTTGTGCGCGAAAGTGCAACAAAGCTGTAGGCCAAGCACGGAAACAGGGATTGAAAGTTCAATATTTTCGACTACATCTGAATGTCTCAACGCTTGTGCAGACCTCCAACCAGATACTGCGCCGACCCTCTTGGGTCCAACGGTTGGGTGCTTTGCGAAGCATGTAGCGGTGGCAACAAGGTGCACAGCTCCAGCAGTTCCATGCCATCTTATGAAACAGCAGTGCTTCTCTGCTACTGCTGCTGGAAATTCCGAGTTGTAGTAGACTCGTTGTCAGTACTGCCGCGTGACGGAACTGCCCACCATTTCACATTTCTATTCAGCGGCCTTCTGGCCCACCCCACCAGCGTGCCTGGGTCGTAGACAAGTTGTTTCGTAGAGGCCTCTTGGGGTCTCTTGGGAGGCCTCGTGGGGGCCTTCTGGGAGCCTCCTGGAGCCTCTTTGGGGCCTCTGGGGGTCTTCTCGAGGTGGCCCACGAGGCTGCACGAGGCTCCAAGAGGGCTCCAGCGTGGACCTCGAGGACCATCCTATTGCCACGGCGTGGGTGTCGAATCCCAGACGCGTTCCCGAGGCCCCTGAAAAGTGACGCAGGGATCCCCAGGAGCGCCCGCACGCGCCCCAGAATTCCAGAAGTCTGGGCCCTGGGGCAGTTAGTTCATGTGTACAAGATCCAGCGTAGAGGACTCGGATGGGCCTGAATGAACTCCACGTCGCGCCTGGCGGCACGGCGGCGGATATGAATATTTTGAACCGCTGCTCATCGATACCGTGTGAGAAAACTGGTTAAAGACATGTTTGTCGTGCTTGTTGTTTGCCCATGAGGAAGAAGCCGACTCCGTCATGTGGTTCTCGAGTTGGCGTGAGCTCCGAGAAAGCAGGTATTCAGTGAGCAGTGGCGCTCCAAACCAGATCCGCGCAGAGCAATGAAGCGCACAAGGAAGCAGGCGAACTCTGCAGGACCGCCTTCCAGCTTGCAGTCTCGGTGCCGGCTTCGGGCTTACAAGGCTGGGGTGAGCTTCAGATGCGTACAGATGTAGGTGTTTACGGAGCTTCCAAGTTTTCACGACACGCGCGACACTTTTTTCCACTTGCTCGGATCTGCCCGCCCCCAACCTGGGAGAACGTGGCTCTTACTCGAGCGCTCTCGTTAGAAGTATCGGCTGTAATTCTTAGCGCTTCGCGTGTCCCCACCAGCCCATCCAGGAACGATGCCCAGGGCAGCTGCCCTTATCAGGGGGGCGTGGCATCATTTGGATACGTCGAGGAGCCTCAGTGAAGTAGATGCCTCTTGGATGCTTCTCGGAGTCGCTTGGCATGTCTCTTGAGGGGCTCTTGGTGGCCTCTTAGGGCGTCTTGGGGGCGTCTTGGAGGCCTCCAGGTTGGGGGCCTTCTGGGAGCCCGGAGCCGCTTAGGGGGGCTCTCTTGAAGCTTTCGAAGCTTTTTGGGACCATCTTGGAGGACATCAATCAATGAAGGGGGGGTCCTTAATCAGTCCTGCCTCTTTGGATCCCTGAAATCGCCTCTTGGGA